TGACGCAAATCCGCCCATATGCTATAAAATTCAAATATATTTTAATTTTAATTCTAAAGTATAAGGTCTAAGAATTAAGGCTCCAGACTACAAAACGTCGCCGTTTTTCTAGTAATAATAACGCTTGATAACTGTATAATGTTACGTAATAACAAATCCTATTTCTGTATTTACAGATATTGACAATTAAGTTTAAAACGTGATTACAATTAAAGGATTATACCGTATAAACGCGAAATAACGCACAGTGTAATTTCAATGTTGGCCTAAGTTAAGCTTAATTCGGGCCATTATTAAAAATAACTCCCCTGGGCGTTATTTCGCGCTTATACGGGTAAGCAAAATTTCGAAGCCATTTAGTCTAAAAATGGAACTGCTTATATCATAATGCTAAGGTTACGTCTCATTTTCTTGACGGTCATTCCTGTAAGGGAATTTACTTTGAGGAAATGTGCGGCTAATAAATGCGTCACCTCCACGTTGGGACAAAATTCCTCAACGTGCTTGTTGCAGAACCATGGGATAAGATATTTTTGTAGTGTAGTTAAATTTTGGTCCTAGAAAGCTAGCGTGCTTCTCAAATAGGCTTAAATATTCATCGATCTGTTCAATCATGCATTAAGAACAAATGCCAAATATTCTTTGAATTACATCACACGATCATCTTGTGACAATAAAGTCGTTATATCAACAGATCCTCAAATGTTTTTGAAATTCATCACTCTTTTCATGACCTCAAACAACATGACTTACAAAGCAATTATTTTTGATATGGGTGGCGTGTGCGTTGGTTCTCCTTTTGAAGGAATAATGAGATTTGAAAAAGAACATAATTTACCTCATAATTATATCAATGTTATAATGTGGGTTTAACTCAGAATGATTATTATTATTTTTTTCGTTATCTTCACATTCATTTTCTCATTCAAATTATTAAAAGTGTGAAAAATGGTGAAAATGGTGCTTTTCAGGTCTGTAAAAAAAAAAAAAAAAATAAAAATTAAAAATAAAAAAAAATAAAAAATAAATAGGAATGACTTTTAATTAATTAGTTCTTTTGATTGATTGATTAAAATATTTTACATAAAAGTAGCGATTAGAACGTGGAGAACTTGCGCTCAACGAATTTTATCAAATATTTAGTAAAGAATTGTCAAACACATTAAACAAACAGATTTACATACGGCATCTTAAATTACGTGGGGGTAAATAAATTTCTTTTAAATTTCGATATTTAAACTATTTTAACATTTATCTATTTCATTATTTCATTTATGTAAAAAGAAACCACGATCCCTCAAATTTCCGATCAAATATCAATAGATGGCAAATCATTATTCCTGGAAATGATGTCTGAATCTACAAAGATTGACCCAATCGTTTTCACCGCACTTAAAAAACTTCGTTCAAGTAATAAATTTAAACTAGCAGCTTTGACAAATAATTTTCTAACTCCAGCCAATATGGGCGGTACTATACCTCAGGAATTGAAATGTTTGTTTGATGAGGTTTTTGAGTCTAGTGTTATTGGACTGAGGTACGTGAAGATATTAGGTTAAAAATTTATTAAAATGGAAGAAAATTACTGTATTGAATGATATTTTGATTCTTTAGAAAACCGGATCCAAAAATATTTTTATACGCATGTGAAAAATTAGGAATTGAACCTAAAGATGCTATTTTTCTTGATGATATTGGAATGTACGTAATTATATTTGTTCATACTATAATATCTATCCAATAACGTTCAACAACATTCAACAATTTTTTTCATCAACCGTTTACGTTTAGGAATTTGAAAACGGCAATGAACTTAGGGATGCGAACTATCAGTAAGGATTATTTTTTCCATTTTACACAAATATATTCATATAAACTAATATTTCTCACCATAATTTATAGAGGTGGAATTAGGTAAATCAGAAAAGGCAATAAAAGAGTTAGAGCAACTTATAGGAATCTCATTATTTGATAACGAAATGACCAATAAAACTAAACTTTAGAATATTGATACTAACGCCTAAAGAAAACTCATCACCACACACTAAAAACTATTAATATTTTATTTATTATATAATTTTTTTTTTTTTTTTGTTAACTGGTGGTTTGCCAACAATATTATCAAAATTTAAATATAATATACGTTGAAATATCTAAATATCTATCAATATACTTCCAGATCCATTCGCATTTTCATCTACGTAAGGTTTCAACACTAGCCGATGGCTAGAAACACGATTTTCTTGTTCCATATTATGCGTAACCCAAATACAAGTATAATCTTTAAGAGTTCTTTCAACCAAAAGACAAGTTGTAGGATCCAGTGCTGATGTAGGTTCTTTAATTTCAAAAGAAAAGGATCAATTAATGGTATTCTTTAGATAGTAGGAGAAATAGTGTTAAAATAATAATAATAATAATAAATTTTATACCATCAAGAAGTAATACTTCTGGCCTGCATGATAGAGCAATGGCTAGCGAAATGCGCTGTATTTCACCACCTGATAATTGATTCCAATTTTTTTCCCATAAATCTCTACTAATATTCCATCTAATGAAATCGAACGCAGTTAAATATCTCTATAATAAATAAAGTCGTCTTTTTAATTTTTTATTTTTTATCTTTACCGTTCAGCTATTTCAACCTATTATAAAAATGTAAAATTAGAATGTTGTCAGCCTAAATTGATACAATCTTATTAAGAATATGAAAATAGTAACATTACCGGATCATCATGATTGTACTTGTTCTTTTGTTGTGAACTAAACTTTAGCACATTTTCATGAAATTCCAACGGTGTGCCTTGCATTATAGCTATTCCATAATATAGCAATATCATATAGCATTGTCGTATAACAATTTCATAGTACACAATTAGTTGATTATGAAATATCAAATTCAACATGTTAAAAAAAAACTACATACGAGCTCTCTGCGGGACGTACATGATTCGAGTTCTCCAATTTGGAATTCCGTATTCTTCAGGAGATCTAAATTGAATGGTTAAATAACAGATTGGTCCAAACCGATTCATTTTAGATCTTCATGGCAGATCATATAACATACTTATCATCTAAGAATATGACACCTTCTTCATATATTGCCAATTGGGAGATACATTTCAACAACGTAGTTTTCCTTTATAAATGACAATTTTACTTAGAAAACAAAATATTCAAAATTAAATTGATAAAGAATATGTCGGTCTTTGACATATTACCCTACACCACTTGGACCAGAAATAGTTAATATTTCATTATCATATAACATTAATGAAACATCTTTAAATAAGTAAGTTCCATTTGGTTTTAGTTTCGATAAACTTTCAATTTTTAACTTCATTTTGTTTGTTTAATTAATAAATAATAAATATTTATAACATATATATATATATTTGAATAGTTCCTAATGATGAAAAGAATTTTTTTCTTTTTTTTTCGGTGGCGTACTCTATATAAGTAAATTCCAACTCAGTACGTAATAGATCGGTGATATGTTACTGATTTTGTAATCTTCCAAATTCTCTTAAAGAGATTAGATCGAAGAATATAAAGTCACACCATATTTTCTCAAATTGGAAATATTTGTGAGGACAAAGTTTTTGCCGATGAAAATTTAGTAATAGGGATAGTTACACGGAAAGCCTATGATTGCTTAAATGCTTATAAGAATGCGTCCTATATTTATTTTGAATTATTGTTTTCTTTTAAGCAAACAGGCGAAATTCATTAAAACCACTACAATGTCTGCGGATAAGACTGATAATATGACCGTGGAAGTTGCAAAGGAAAATGTAGAAATAGAAGAAGAAAAGGAGCAACATTGCTTGCTTTTTCCTACTTATGCTACTAAACATAGTCTCGGTAGTTATATTTTCATTTTTGTTGAAAATAATTTCATACAATACAAAAACAGACAAGACAGTGTGGGTCACCCCCAATAAGTCCAGAAATTTGATATTAGAATTGGACTTATACGTTCCAATTGGAATCTATAAATCTAAAATGTTCCAATTTATGGATTCAGTGGAACAATGCTGGACCAAATTTCTAGCACTGAGTACAAAGCAATTTCAGTATGTTGATATGATAATTTCTTTTGTTTAAAAGAGTCAGACTCTTCTAAACCTTCTAGACTAACCGATGACTGGAATATCCGTATTCGAGGTTGGGCATTTTCTTCTCCGAAGACAAGTAGAAGTCGTGACCTTTTTATAGGTAAAATAAATAAATAAATAAATAATAAATAAAATAAAGATAAATAAATGTTAATAATAATATTTATATAACGTAAATTGTTGAAATTGGTCGACAATTTCAGGGCTTGCATCACGTATTGCAGGCATTAAACAAGCTGATGCTAGATACGAACTCCTCAAAGATCGTACTACATTGTTCTGGGCGACAAATATAGATAAGGAAGAATTCGTGGTTAAAGTAGTCGGAATAACCAATTCTGATAAAATGACCATCGAAGGCGATCCTAGTGACCCCCAAAAAACTCCAGAAAAGGTATTGAATACTGTGAATGAAAAGATTAAGGAGCAGATTGAACATCCCGAGAGTGAGAAGTCCTTTATGGTTTTTAAACCTCATACTGGCAACTTCAGCGGAGATCTTTCTATTAAACAAGAAATAGTTAACAAGTGGATTGGAGGAGAAAGAACTAAAGATAAATCAATTGTTGGAGGATTCATTGGGCTATTTGTCGGGAAAGATCCTAAAGAAGAAAAAGAACCAATTAAATTGCTTAAAATCGAAGCACGTCGACATAATAAGCGTAAGTCATGTATATATTTATTATTGATTATTATCATAGCAATATATTACCAAGAATTACGTAATCATATATGTAATCTTGATTAGCTGATTCATTAGCTATTCCGACTTATAGTATTGTTAATTTGGTCGAACCTGAGGGATACTCTGTAATTTCGGTAAATATTTATACATTGTTAATACCCTATTATTTGAGACTCCTAGATTATAAACATTTGAGTTTTGTTTTAGGATATTGATGACACGATTAAACAAACTGAAATCTTGGATGGCGCGAAAACCGTCTTTTCTAACACGTTTTTAAATGATTGCAAAGTGGTATGTATTTTTTTGTATATACTGACTGTATTTAGTATGTAAATAAATATATTAAATTTTTAACTATTCTTTTTTTTTTCATTTGAAAGGTTAATAATATGCCTGATTTATATCATAAATGGGTGATTATTAATTGAAAAAAATTCATTTTATAAACCAAATTTTTAAGTGAATTATTAAAATTATCTCTATATTAGTATAACAAAGGTGTAGCTATCCATTATGTGTCTAATTCACCTTGGCAACTATTCCCAATGTTACGAACTTTCTTCGATACCTTCAATTTCCCTCCTGGTTCTGCGCATCTTAAATTTTACGATGGTTTGTTCAAGAGTGCGCGTGAACAAAAACAACATCCGATGGAAAGCAAATTCGTATATATAAGAGAACTTCTTAGAGTAAATATCTTATTAACTTTTTTTTATTTTTATTAATTATAATAATTTTTAAATATTAACTTTTTTTTAATTATTTTTGTCTTAAGGATTTCCCTCAGCGCAAATTTATTCTTGTCGGCGACACGGGAGAATATGATCCAGAAATGTAAATTATCAAATTAAAAATTAATTTTTTGGTTTTTTTATTGAACTAATTAACATTGGTTTTTATATATTTAAAATAATCTCAGTTACTCAACAATTTATCGAGAGAACCCAACTCGAATTCTTCGCATCTTTGTCAGAGATGTAACTACAGAACATATAAAAGATGAACCGGCACAATCACCACATCTTTCTTATGCACAAACATTCACATCAACATATAATTATCTTAAAAATTATTATAAAAGTCCAGAAGGAAAAGCTGATTATGAAAGTTCAGAAGGAAATGATGAACATGAAGATGAACCTGATGACCAAAAAAATGAACCTGATGACCAAAAAGATGAACCTGGTGACCAAAAAGATGAACCACATAAGCCGAAACGCCAAAATAGTTTATCTTCCCGTTTAATGAATAGGTTACATGTGGATATGTCTTCTATATATACATCAATTCATTCAAGTGCCAATCCTGATCATAGACATGAATTACCAGCTGATGTAAGTAATAATTTACAAAACGAACCGACTGAAAAATTGAAAACTCCATTGGAAATGTTTCATGAGAGAATAGAAAAATTAAAGAAAGGAATACCAGATGGTATTTTTTCAACCTTTATGGATCCCGCTGAGTTAGAAAATGATCCTATTATTAAGAACGCATTAAAATATTAAGATGTTTGATTATTTCTTAGTCGGATTTCTACACTGTATAACTTAAATAACTTGAACATCTATTAATGTATTTATTTTATTTTGATTTATTTTTTATTTTTATTTTTTTTGTTTCAAATTACCTTATTTATTGTTCTTGTTTACATAATGAATAAACTGAAACTTATCACAATTTATGCCATACAAACTTAATAATTCGGTTTTCATAAAATTTTTAAAAGTGACCCAGCAACCCGGCTTTTAATTTTATTTTCAAAAAATTTTATATATAAAAAACAAAATTTTTTATAGATTTTTTTAAAAAACTCACCCGGATAGTAAATATACTTACAGCTGTTTTCATAAATTCTGGGACATCTGGCAAAAAATTGACCGACCGGATATTTGCTGATTCGATAAGTTTTTGATTCGTCAGTTATCATACCGAAATCACAAACTTATCGAATCGGCAAATATTCAGCGGTCAAGATGTCCCAAAATTTATGAAAACAGCTGTAAATAATATTTTAAATATCAAAAATAACTTCACGCGTGACAAATCTGTATCGTACTACATAAATAAAAAAGTTTTTTTTTTATCTTTATGTTTTTTTGACTTATTAAATTTCACTGGACCTCAGTGGAGCTTCCATCCAGTTGTAAAAAAAAATATGACTGGAAGGGTCTAGTGACAACTTACCACTGGAACCCAAATATCTTCCAGTTTCATCCAGTTAGTTCCAGTGATATTCACTGGACCGGTCTAACAACAACACTGATATATACGTGTATTTACTGTATCAGTCCTACATAATTGACTGATTTGAAAATGAATGTAAACAACACATTGGCGTCTTTTTAAGTTAATATATATTCATTATATAGTCTTCGTTATTTATTAGTTGTCATATCATACAGTTAGAAAAAATTTGAAATAGCCTACTAACTTAGCATTTACGTACTGTACACAGCTTATCTTTCTTATCAACGCAGCAATAAAAAATTAGTTGTGTAAATTATTAATAAAGAAGACTTTTTGCCGCGCTATATTAATGCGTGTTGATTGTTATCCTGTAAAATTTACTCTGCCTGTACTTCGCATTAGAAAGTGTCATAATTTGTATTATATCTAATTTTGTATGATGAAACTCTGGCTTATTTATCTTTAAAAATTATACAAACTATAAATGACAAGTATAGTCATAAAAAAAATAAATGATTTTTATGACAAAATGACTTGTCATATGATAATATGTCAAATGACAATATGCCATCCGCGAAATCTACTGACAATGTTTAGGGGCAGTGCAGTCACGTGATGTTAATAAGAAGGGAAAAATAAAAGTTTTCAAAACTTTAAATCGAAATAGCTCAGTAACCACCCGACCAAATTCAACAAAGTTTTTTTATTAAAAAAAAATTTCATCGAATTTTATCATGTCTTCATCGAGAAACTTCAGTTTAAAGCTTAAAAAAAATTTTGAGTCCAAGAAAAAAAAAGAATAATAAATTTCTTTTTAACTTTTGACCAAGATTTCTCGGTGAAAATATGATCAAATTCGATGAATTTTTTTTATTTTAATTCTGTGCTTGTAGAATAGAAATAAAAAAAAAATTATCGAATTTGGTTATGTAGTCACTGAGAAATATTATTTAAAATTAAAACAAAATTGCGCAACTTCTTTTTAATAGGTACTAAAATATTAAGCGAAGATTTATCGATGAATATCTAACCAAACTCTATGAATTTTTTTTATTTTAATTTTGTAATCCTATAAAAATAAAAAAATTTTCATAGAATTTGTTTACATATTCATAAGAAAATTTCGCTTAAAGTTTTTGTGCCTTATAAAAAAGAGGCTGCGACAATTTTTTTTAAACTTTAAATAATATTTCTCAGTGATTACATATCAAAATTCGATAAATTTATTTTTATTTTGACTCTACAAACACCTAGAATTAAAATAAAAAATTTTCCATCAAATTTAGTTAGATAATCGTTGAGAAATCTTCTCTTAAGTTGAAAAAAAGAAATCTTATTGCTTTTTTTTAACATTTTTTCAAAATTAAACGAAGTTTTCTCAATGCTATCTAATTAAATTTCGATAAAATTTTTATTTTAATTCTATTAACTTATAGAATTAAAATAAAAAAAAAATTTGCTGAGAAATTTCGGCTTAAATTTTTCGACGTATTCCTACCCGGATCTGCAGTACACTAGGTGCCGCACAAAAAATGCGCGGATGATCCTTGATTCTGATTGGCTAAGAGCGACGATCAAAAAATTAGGCCGGAATTATTCATAATTTTACTAATAAAATCGCAGCTGCCTATTAAGTGAAAATTGTTCCTGGGCCAATTTTACTACAATGCGTGCTTATTTTTATTTTTATAATAAAAATTAAAAAGTCAAATCCGGCCGGAATTTAGTAACCAATTTGTAATGCGGGCCAAAATTTCGAAGATCACCGGCCGTTAGCCAATCAAAATCGAGGATCATCCGCGCATCTTTTGTGCGGCACCTAGGTTTAATATATGACCTGCATTGTGTTTTTAATTAGCCCAGTAACGCGTAGGGGAGTAATTCGAACTTCGGCCTAAATTAAACTTAATTCGGGCTATTACTCAAAATAACGCTCTGGCCTGCTATTACGTGCAAATACGGTATCACTTACAAGAATTTATAATGAAATGACATCTTAGCATAAGTGATCATTATAAAGATGCTTGTTGAGAGTGACGACAGAATCTTGTTTATGTTACTAAATTGGTTTGTCAAGGTTTCATCAATCAACAAAGGTTTCCTCAACCATTGGAGGCTCCGTCAAGGGTTTCGTAATCGTTGGGGATTTCGTCAGACGAAACCATGACGAAACCATTTCGTCATTGAAAAATAATTTTGTCAGGCATCATTAATCACAATACTTTTTTTTTTTTTTAAAAAAAAAAAGAGTGCTTATAAATTTATTTGGGTTTTTTTAAATATACTTATAAAATTTTATTTTAAAATATAGATATTGTATTTAGGTGTTGCTATAAGAGATCGAACTATATCTATAAATACAATAATAAAAATTTTAGCTTATTCAATTGTTTTATCGCGAAAATTTAAAAAGAATAATCGAGTTCTCGTTAAAGTTTTTTTCTGGCCGGTAATAAGCACTCATGTCTTGTGTGGACTGAATGATTTGATCTGAGCGTGCTTTTGTAATTGGACGGCCCAATTACTATTAAACTTATTTACTATTGTAATTATTATATCAGCCTCTATTAAACAAAACCACAAATAAAACTAATATAATTATTTAGAACTCGGAAGTGTAGAGCTCGGAATCTTCCTTGCTCTTCGTCTTCTCCGTACATAATGTTTTATAGAATTAAATATCGTGACAGTTACGTCACTCTTCGGAACAAGCGGAGGCGAATTAATATCATTATCGACCTGTGAGGCAGCAGTGTTTTCCAACGTAGGCTCAGTTTGTCTTAGAAATTGTATACATTTACAGTGTGCGTCCAAAATTAAACTAAAATAAGAAAACATTAAAGCCGAACAGTGTCATTTAGTATGTATTAGGGCAGAGGCTATAGGCAAAATCGCACCCTCAATCCTTTATAGGCCATACAAACTTAATAAATCTGTTTTCATAACCCGTCAGGGTCAAATTTTACAAAAATTTTAAGTATATTTACTATCCAGATGAGTTTTTTAAAAAAATCTATAAAAAATTTTGATTTTTATTTATATAAAACTTTTGAAAATAAAAATTAAAATCCGGGTTGTTAGTAAAAATTTTATGTCATGAAAACCCGATTTGTATGGCCTTAGTGTTAATATCATTCTCGTATTTTTTTTCATTGAGATGAGACGATACATTTACTAGCTTTAATGATCTTTAAATGAGGGTGTTTATTTTCGATTGATTTCACTATCTAATCTTTTAACAAATCAAATAAGTGATACCTCGAGGACGCTTATGTACTCCTAACATGTCAGATTTAACTTCTAACGATTCATTCAGTTTAGCAGACGAATTTTCTTTGTTGTATTCAACCGTTGGCATGTTTTGTTTAGTTTCAGAAAAATTTGTCACAGTTAAAGATGGATTAATATCTTCATGATTGTTATTACATTGCTCATCTGGGCATATGATATAAAAATTATAAACACTTAATTTAGAATAATTTAGAATAAAAAATTAAATACAGTAATTACCAATTATTTTGGATAAATTATCCCTATATGAAGTTGATTGCACTGTTATTTGATTATCGAAATCGCAAGTTGTTTTTGTTAGTAAGCTATCAAGATCACACAAAATACTATTTAATTTAGGACGTTTTTCTGGCTCCGAGGACCAACATTTCATATAAAGATCTGCATATTCTTGGGGTGTGCCAGGAATCGTCTTCTCTCGTTCACCAAGAAAGATTTTTACAGAAATAGCGGAATTATTCGTTGAATCTGAAAATGGGTGTGTCCCACTTGTAAGCTCCCACATCAACACGCCCAGACTGTAAATGTCAGATCGTTCATCACGCTTAACTTTTTTTCCATATTGTATAAAACATTGTGGTTCAACATATGCAACCATATAGTTCATTTCGTTTATTTGATTAGATATTCCGAAATCAGCAATTAAAGGTTTACCATTGTTCATTAAAATATTTTTAGAATGCTAGTGAGGTTTTAAATAAAATGACTTAAAATTTAGTAAAAACAATCAAAATTTGATTAAATATAAAAAACATACTAGATTTTTATGAATAATTCCTTTTTCGTGTAAGTGACTTAACCCAAGACTTATTCCTTTTGCAATTTGAATGGTTTCATTCCATGAATTTTTAAAAACATTATCTTGTAATTTGCTTTGTAAATAATCGCGTAGACTTCCGTCATTTGCAAATTGTAATACCATTATAAAATTACCCATTATTGGATCTATGGTTTATTAAATTATAGTTTGATAAGTGTGTTAAAATAAATTTATGACTTATATTTTCAAAATCGATGACTTTACGTTCTGATGTTCCATAGAATTTAATTACATTAGGGTGCCTGACTGCATAAAAAGCTTTAAGCTGCAATATAATTATTGGACTTTAGACACATGATGTAGGATTCATTAATTTAGACATAAATCTTAGTGCTGAATACTGAATAGCACGTTACCTTTCGAATAATTTTTTTAAACTTTTTGTTATTCAAGTGCAGGTTATTATTTAGACTTTTTAATGCACACATTTCTCCTTTTAAATCAGCTGAGTATACGATTGAAAATTCACCGTTTCCAATCTGCTTCTGGATGTTGAAGAGAGAATAATCAAACTCTTTTATATTGGATGTTCTAAACTCAGCCTTTAAGTTTTCCCATACTAATGCAATACGTAAAATGTTATTATATCATAAACAATGCTATAATTTTTATCGGTTAATATACTATTAATGAAATAGCTATATTTGTAAAGCATACCCATTGTATCTTCATTTTGAACGATATTTAAGTCATTTACTTTTTTACTTAACTTTGAATATTCGTGAGCAATTTTTAAATAATTAACTTTTTCATTTCGAATAATTTTCTTTGACCCACGTTTTTTACTCGAATCAATAAAAATACGCTCAAATTTATGTTCTGTACAACGATAATAAGGTACTCCTCCAAAGCATCTTGCGTGCCTTTGCCTACAACTAGTGAATGCCTTAGTCACCTTAGTCACGTTATTGCCTCTTGGTTGTCTTCTTAAATCCTGTTGTCTTTTTAAATGTGACATATTTTAAAGTCTAATCATTCTATCAAAGATTATTTATATGCGTTCGGAGTTATCTTCTCAGATGCAAAACGACAAATTAAGGTATACCTCCGTATTACATAAAACCTATTTTTATATTAAAGTTTCCTATCAAATCGTTTTACGTATTAAGTGAGCGATAATTCTCCGTAAATAATTTAGCCTCATGGTATTTCTTTTTCAATTTTCTATTTTACTTTCAAAAACAAATAAATACAGTAGGCTTGCTGTATAAATATATTTATGAATAATCACTATGCAAAAACTGGATGAGAAATCCCCTAATAATTCTTTATATAACCAAATTTTAATCGATTTTAAGCCCACATTTCCTCCAAAAATTACCAACGATGATCTAATTTCGAAGTCAAATGCATTTATTATTTATAGAAGGGTTTTTAACAGAGAAATATCTGAATTTAAGCATAATATTTCTTTAGAGGAAATATCTGGGAAAGCTTCCGAAAGCTGGAGTAAAGAACCTGAATGTGTTAAAAATTTTTATAGAAAGCTCGCCGATAATATAAACAATTTAAATAACAAGAATAATAGTAATGACAATGCTGGTGAACGTTTAGGAATTCTTCATGCTAGTCCAAGTATCATTAATGGCAGCACTGGTCAAGAAAATAATATGGACGAAGAAAGTATTAACGGTGACTCTGATTCGGTATCTGATACAAATTTTAAATCTTTTCTGATCACTAGAGCACATTCTGCGCCAATCACTAAGAACTATGATCCTTTAATAAAAGATTTGGTTATTTCCAAATCTAAAAAACAGTCTTCATATCCATATATAATTTATAAAAAAACTTCTATCAAAACTGCAAGGAACAATGGCTACAATTCGAAAATGACAACCGTACATAAAAAAAATAAAAATAAAAATCTGTCTCGAAATGAGATTACATTTGAATCTCTTATCAAAGAAACCAGAAAGAATAAAGGAAACAAAGATGAATGTAATACATTTAACGACAAAATAGAAACGTTATTGGAAGAATATAATATAAGGAAGGTTAAATTTTCGCAATCGCAAATTAACAATCGTCAACTCATTGGTAGAGGTGGATCAGCGAATGTGTACTCTGTTGATCTACAAGGAGAAAAATGGGCATTAAAAAGTTTTGATCTTAACATAAAATGGGATGTCAAAAATTTTAAAATATTCCTCAAAGAGGTAATATTTGTTCATTTTCGTCTTATTACGATTAATCAAAATTAATAAATTTGATATTTTCCAGTTAAGATTCCTTCACGATATTAATCACCCTAATATTATTAAATTCTATGGGGTGTCAAAAGGTTCGAAATATTTAAAATGGGGCACATTTAAATTTGTTTTATCTAAATTTATTTGTTTGTTATAGATCCACGGTCTGGGAATTTTAATATTATATTACAGCATGCCAATAATGGAAATTTACGAGATTATTTGCAAAGTAAACAGTCTGAAGAAGGTTTTAAAATCTCATGGACAGATCTTATACAAATTGCAAAAGGAATAACGCTCGGACTAAAATGCCTACATGAAAACAAAATTATTCATTTGGATCTGGTATGAAAATTTTAAAATACAGTCGTCCCTCATTGATATCAACCCCGTTAATAGCAAATTCTTATTAATATCAACCTAATTTATAAAACAAATTTCCATATATTAAAATTCTCTCATATAACAACTTAATAATTAGCCCATTAATATAGAATCAAAAATCACATGATATATCCTTAGCCAATAAAAATCTAGAATCACCTAGCATATATAAACAAAAATATAATAATCAGAACTCAATTTTTTACTAAGTAGACATATCTTCTACTTTTAATAAAAGTTATAAAGGACATTTTCTTCGACACTAATGGTGGCAAGATTATCGAATTTGGCCAACTGGATCACGAGATATTTCCGGTTTACTTTTCAAGATTATAAAATTTTTTTACAAAAATTTTTATAATCGTGAAGTGTAAAATGGGAATATCTCTTGATCTACCGGGCCAAATTCGATCTTACCACCATTAGAATCGTAGAAAGTCCTTTATAATTTTTATTAAAAGTAAGAGATATATATTTACTTAGTAAAAAATCGAGTTAGGGTTGATTAAATGTTTACCTCTGTTATCTACCCAAAGATGTCAACATAATTTTCCAATCCAAATGAGTTGATATTAATGAGGGACAACTATAAAATTAAACAGGTTAATTTATATCAAATTCTAAACTAAGTTTGCATTAAAATTTATTAGCATTCGAAAAATATTTTAATAAACGATGGTAAACCTTTGATCGCCGATTTCGGCATATCTAAACATATTGAAGATTATTCATCAACTTCTTCTGTAAAAGGTATGGCTGCATATGTTGAGCCACAGTGCTTTATTCAACCTGGGAAAAAAGTTAAGCGTGATGAACGATCTGATATCTATAGCCTGGGTGTATTGCTGTGGGAACTTACAAGCGGAACATTCCCATTTTCATATTTAGAGAATTATGATAATTGCTCTATTTCCATAAAAATTTTCCTTCGTGAGCGAGAAGAAATGATTCCTGGTACACCACAAGGATACGCAAATCTTTATATGAAGTGTTGGTCATCTGATCCAGAAAACCGTCCTAAATTAGATAGTATTTTGTGTGATCTTGAAAGATTATCAACAGAGACAGCTGTTAAATTTATAATAAACGCCTCTAATAAATCAAGTGAATAAACCGAGTATTATAGATTGACTTAGCTTAGAATGAATGCTATCTAACATAACAAGATATCAGGATATTGACTGCCATTTTAAGAAATGCTGGAAATATTTAATTTGGTGGTCTTATTTATGGTCAGATTTAATATTGAAGGTGTTTCAGAATTAATAGATGACTCATTTTGATTTTTTCAAATAAGGATATGTCATATTCCGATAAACTTTTGATAATCTTTATTATTTGAACACTAGTAAAATTTTTCAATACTCTGAAATACCCTATTCTTTTTTCTAATTCTAGAACCCTCCATTAAGTTTATTTACCATAGAAGATTAAATTATAAGTTTGTAAAAGCTAAGAATTTTGTAAATATTAAAAATGTCATTTGGTGGACTAAATAGGATGGTTGGACAAATTATGGAAGATGAGAAGAATAACAAGATCCGAATGCTGTAAAAACATTTAAATAATAAATTGTACAGTGAATAATATAATAGTAAACTAGAAATTTTTACTTTGAATTTTTTGGAGAATAACTACAAGTCCTTAAATGTTCAAGTTTTTTAAAAACATTTTTTATGTACCAAATAAATGCTGATTTATTATCTAGAATTTTGCTTCGATTTTATTATTTTTTCCCAATTTACGATTGATTGGCTAATCGACATGTTGAGCCTTTTTGAGTGCTTTTGCAAATGCCTTTTTTTCGCTTAGTAGTTTATCATAATCTATTAGATCTATAATCTTTCTCTTTTTCTCTTGCTCACTTAGTAAGTCTTTATGGTCTATCAAGCGAATTTTTTGAAGTAAATTTTGGCATTTGTTACAAATGTTTAAATAGTTCTTGCAGTATTCGTAACATTTATATTTGTTAGCTTCATTTCATATCAGCGGATTTTCGGAAGTGGGTTTTCATGGGTTTGTAAAACGAATCCAAAATGTAGAATTTCTATTACGTATGTAAAAATAATTTAAGGAGTAAATAATAATAATACAAAATTAAAATTAAAATTAATTTGTAGCACTATTGTTAATTACTTCTTAAATTATTTTTATATACATACAGGTTCGTTTTACAAACCCATGTAAACCCAATTCCGAAAATCCGCCGATATGTATCATATCTTTTTTATAATTTGCAATATTTCTTGATAGTCTTCTGCATAAATTACTCTTGGTATTGGCAATGGTGTTTTATTTAAGTTTTGGTTTGTTGCAGAATATACAGTCTATTTTATGGTTTTGTTTTAATAATTCTATATTAAATTCATAAGAATTCTTTTCATCCTTCATACAAACGAATAAATATTTTCTTTTTTTTTTCATGCTCATCAATAGTAAACCATTTGAACATGAGACCGTGTTCGTGTCTCAACGTGTCCATTTATACCATATATATTATATTTTTAAAGATTAACCACAAAATCCCGAATGGCAGATTCCCGAAAGGACTTAATACCGACAAAGTTGACCGGCATAAGTTATAATGCTGGCCAATTTAGTCGGTATTATGTTTTTTCTGGAAAATGGCTTTCAGGATTTTGTGGTAGAACCGAAATCGAAATAAATCATTAGCCATTTTTGTTTGTTAATAAATTCAAATTAGAATTTTATACGCGAAAATTTTCTAAAATTAATATGGCAATATATTTTTACAAATGAAGTCTCAGCATATAATTTGATAAGTATGAGATCTAGGGTTGCGACCTAAACCTACTAGTTTGGGATTTGGTAGAATCCCAAATTACCGAAATCCTTAATTTTTAGAAAATATAGTTATAATAGAGTTATCATAAATATAATTAATACATTATCAGCATATTATTAATATATAATTTAAATTAGTAATATGTTAATCATATTTTTATTATATATTAATTATATTATTAATATATAATTATTATATTTCATAAAATATTTTTATCATATGTTAGACATATAGTTACAATAGACTTAACATAGACATTTTAAATTATATAAATAATATAATAATAATATTAAAATTGTTAAAAAATGATATAATATTTTTATTATATATTTAATATAACATAAATATATAATAATAATATTTTTAAAATATTTTACAAAATTGAGCAATTCTGTAAAGTAGTATTTACTAGGTTTCGCAAAATGCCTCTAATTTGCCATAATGTCAAACATTCTGACATATAAATTATATTACAGCTAGAAATCCCAATTTTTTTAAATGTAGAATCGGGTTTGGGATTCATCCCAAACAAAGAGATCAGTTAAAGTCCGCCACCTTGGCCAATAGGATCACGAAATTTTGACATCGAAACGCGATTTACATATAAGTCACCTTGTTTTGCATACT